GGAGTTTAAACCAAAGATAGTAAAAATAATCACACATATTTATACTTGTACAATATCTTCATTCCAAGACATAATAACAACCTTCAAATAAATTAAACTTTCACTTTTTTCACAGATAAATATTATGATGAATAAGTAGCAATATGTTAATCTGCCAGACACACAGTAAAAACTGTGCTAAAACTAAAATAACAGGTTTCCATGAATTATTTCTATTATATTTTCTCCTCCTTCTTCTTCCAAGAGTCCTCCCCTGCCCTATCTTTCTATTTGCTCTTAAGTGGCTAATTTTGATATGAAAGCCTTCTCTCTTCCAATCATTTCAATGACATTGCACTGAGATTGTTAACCAGTATGTCGCTCGATATTAAAACTACAACAGAATGTGTTCATTGGGAAGTATAATTTGTTTGACATTTTCATCTTTCCAGATGTTACAGAAGTTTCCTTTATTCACCAAGCCAAAGAACTGGGATACATAAATAGCTTTGAAATTGACAGTAATTTCAAAATAGTTTACAAAAATCAAATTCTTTCCCTGATTCCTTCTCCATGCCTTCTCTAAAAATTTCAGGAGCAACATTTCCTATGAGCAAAGTGCTCAAAAGTTAACATGTTCTTCACTTCTGGTACATTTTTAAAATTCCATAAAGTATGTCATAAGACTCTTCCTAAATCTTCAAAATTCCTGATCCTATGACCGATAAATTAATCAAAAGCCATATGTCATCTAGTGAGTCTCCCCAGGACATGATAGATATCCATGTGGCCTACAATCTAAATACTGGGCAGCTCAGGAATTCTGTGGAGGGAGAGAGGATGGAAGGAGAAGCAAAGAACTATTCACATCCCAGCTCCATTCATATCCATCCTGGTAACTCTGGGCAAGGCAAGTCTCCTCTACAGGCCTTAGGTTCAGGCAGAGATGGAGTGAAATAAAGACTTTTTACTCTAATTTCCTTTCTTGTTTTAAAAGTATAATTTATTCATTTCTTGAAAGTCACCACTGGAAAGCAACAGGCAAAGTAATCGAGAATAAATAAGCCACACTGTGTGCTCTCTAGCCCCATTTTCACTTTAAACTGGCCCACCAGTACTCCTCACACAAATCAAGACAGCTGGGTTAATTCGAACCTTGTGGGGAAAGCATTTATATCACCACAGGAAGGCGAGTCAGAGTATTCAGCCTCTACTAGATTCATTAAAATGGGTACATAGACCAGAGACAACATCAAGTTAAGATTTTTCTAACACAGAGATCCAGCTCTTTCGATCATTAGAGAATGCTTCCGATTGGAGGAAGATTTAGGTGGCATTTCTCACCTAGTAGAGGAGCTGTTCTAGAAGCACTTTGATAGGCCAAGAGAATTAATTCAGGTGACCAGAGCAAGAGGTTTCCACATGTGCAGGTGGTGAAGCCCATTCATGAAACACTTCCCAACAGCCCACCCCATAAGGAAATACTGCCTCCAGATCTGTTTGAGCACGGCTGCTGTCCGGATTCCTCCTTAATGTGGAAAACCTGTGTTTCTGATTATTTTCCCAAAATTGGCATGAACTAGCAGTGAGTAACACATTGCAAAAGAGCTCTGTGCTGGGCAGCCACACAAGCTGCGGCCCTTCAAATCCCGTGTGGCAACACTAGGAAAGGGTCGGGCCTTCTGGCTCCCACCACAGTCCCTCTGCAGAACAGCGCCATGGGGCCACCTCACACAGGCCTTCCCACCTGCCCACCCCACACTGGCTTTTCTAAGCTCCCTCTTGCTTTGCAAGGTCTCCCAGCTTCATTCACACTGCAAATTTCATTCCATTAGCATGTCGAAGCTTCCTCCCAGATTATTAATCAAGATGTGAAATAAGATAAAACCTAATCCGCAGTCCCTCAGCTACAAATGCTCAAAGCCAGGCTCATTAAACATATCTGTCAACGATGGATTACACCAGCCTTAGGCCCCAAATTGATTGGAAGTCAGGAGGAGGCAGTGGGGTGGGGTTGGGGGGGAAGCATTTGGTTGCACAATATATTCAAAGGAAGGAATTCCTTTTAAGGTGTGGCCAATTAAATCTGTTCAGAGATAAGTATAGGCTATACAGTTTTATAGATTCTTTTCTCCAGTTGTTAATAGCAGCCGAAGTGATGGGAACACAGAACTAGTAATTCATGTACCATGTGTGTGAAAACCTGAAAATCATTATGAATGGAAGTAAAGCAATATGCCATCTTGGAAGCAAACCCAGTGAATTCCTGCATGGATTCAAATGCTATTTCCTTGTGTCAAAAAGAAAAAAATAAGAGAGAGAAAAAAATACTGAATTCTGTTTAAGTGTTTAAAGTCACATTTCACTAAGGTTCTTATCTATCATCCTGTCATTAGCATCCTCACCACCATCCCCATCCTGAGATACTTTGTATTTATATTGGGCTTTTCAAGTTCAAAGCACAAAGCAGACACACCAGGCAATTAATCACCTTGAGGGATGTGAGTTGGGTGGAATGCCTTCCCAGCAAATGCATTCCTAACGCGTCACTGGAGGATCCACTCAATGGGAGTGTTCCTGGCCCACAATTTGATGTTATATGTTGGCATTTTGTCAGATTTCAAATATACATTTTCACCTACCAAACTGACAGCCCTATTTACTGAATCAAAGGAAAAGTGATTTTACCAATCTTTTAGCATTAAGAATTACTCTTCTCCATTTGGGTGTTTCTGGGTAGTAGCCACATTTTATACACATCAAAGGGAACAAAAAGCATGGGAGAAGTAAAATTAAATAAATATATTACTTGTTTTACAATGAGAAAGTGAGCAATAGGGAAAAAATCAAATCTGAAGAGATTTATAATGGGAAACAGATGTGGACGTGAAAGTGATTTGAAGTAACCGACAGGCTCCAGACATCTTCCAAGAATATGTTTCATATACATAAACATTTAACAGCACAATAACTGGGCCAAAATTGCCCAATTTCAAAACTTCACCTGCGTTCCTAAGTTTGCTTTTTATTCTTTGAGATTAAATAGGACAAGGAAAGTTTCCCATATTTGAGCTGTTTATTAACAATTATTTATGATGGACAATGAAATGAGGCATATCTGTTTTGCTTTGCTGTCCTGGTAGGTTTTATATTCTGCTTCCAATTCCCATGCCTCCGTGCTGTTCTATTTGAATTTCCAATGCAGCAGAGGAAATGGCTTCTAAAATATTAAAATCCTGTTTTCATTGACTTTCTTTACGCTTTGTGACCACATTTCTATTCAGATCAGGTTGCACAGCTTTTAACTTCTCCAAGTCTAAACTTAAAGTTAGAGCAACTTCATGGTACCCCTTAAGTGGATATCTCTTAATCTCTTATAACAAGGGAGAAAGCAGTCTGGAAACTTCAGAGCATCCAGGCCGATGGGATGACTCTTATTAAAAAAAAAAAAAAAAAAGATTTTTATTCCAGTTTTCTGGCGTTTTGAAACGGTTTTGAACTACAATTGCATTTTGAAACAGAGGCTCATCTAGAGCAAGACACCAGCCTGGTAAAGTTTCTAGGAGAACAAACTTGCCTGGGTTCACATGGCTGAAAAAGAAAGTCTCAGCCATGTCCCCAGTACTCACCCTGTGATTTTTCTCCTGACCTCCAATCTTGCTTTCTCTAAATCTCAATTTTCTACACAGGAATTCTTTTTATTGTTCTCATATTATCCCTTTTGCATATTGCTTGGCCTCCCTGAAAACCAAGCAACGCAGTCAAGGAAAATGAAGCTGGCCATTGTCTATGAGAGAATCAGGTTCTAAAGCCTCATCTCAGTCTCCAAAGAAAAATTATCTGTGAAATTGAACTTGGAGCCTCCAGACTCCTGGAGGCATCCAGGAATCCTGCTTGCCCTTCCCTAAGTAACAACCCTCACTGTAATATTACAGTTCTAATAATTAATGCCTCTATGCTGTTTTATAGTTCACAAAGCATTTTCATTACTTCACAAGAGCTCTGTGACAGAAGGTGGCAGGTTTTATGTTAGCCATAGTTTACAGATGAGGAAACTTTCATTCAGAGAGGTTCCATGAATTGTCTAAGATCACAAAGGTAATTAGTAGAGAAGCTAGGGCTCTACCTCAGGACTTCTAATTTCCAATCCTATTTTCCTTCCTCCATACTACATGTGTTCCTATCATATCATTTCCTGAAAGCAGAGTCATTCTCAGAAGGTTTTGTTTTCCTGGTGCCTCCCTTTCCTCTCAAGTACAAGTAGTTGACAGAAGATTTGGGAAATACACCCTGTGGGCAGATGTGATCTGTCTAAACTCCATCCCAACTCATTGCACTTGGGTCTAAAGTAAGTCTTGGTAATGTTACGGATGGTTGTTAATTTAACAATTACTTATGAAGCACCTCCTTTTCAGGCACTAAGCTCTGAGGAGACAACAATCGATAAGACTGACCCCTCGCCAACCATTGAAGAGCTCACAGTCTAAATTAAACATATAATTACAGTCAAACAGAACAAATCATACAAAAGAGGGCACTCAGGGCACTGAACATAAGTGATCATGGAAGGCTTCCTGGAAAAGGTGGCATCTAAATTAAGGCCTGAAAGATGAGGTAGCCAAGTGAAGAGATGGGGAAAAATATTTCAGTTAAAATATATGCATATATTTCACAGGAGAGTTGTTGTTTTATGGATATAGAGTTGCAGTTTGGCAAGATGAAAAAGTTCTTGAGATCGGTTGTACAACAATGTGAAGACATTTAACATTACTGAACTATATGTATTTTAACTCAATTAGAAATAAAATGTATGCTTTTTTTCCGGCATGTACAATAAAGCTAAGACCAGTCCCACTTAATGTAAATCCCAGGCCACCATTCCTGAACCTTTTACTGATTTTACATCATTCCTTGGTGAGAAATTTCAGTCCTGTTATTGATTAACTCTGATAAGAGACAATCCTAAGTAAAAGGAGTATTAATTCCGGTTTTTCTGAACTTCAGCCTCCTGGAGAGCTTACCTCCTTTACAGACTTCCAGAGCTCCTCCAGACCTGCCCAGATCAACCATGTTAAAGCACAAGCAAGAGAACTTTTCTTTCAGCTGAGGCCAAGCTGAGGGAAGGGAGACAGAATCCAGGCATGATTATTTAAAATGGTGCCAATCAAACAAACTCATGTAAATAAATTATCTTGTGATAAGAAATCCATGCCTTGTAGGCTCATCTATCCCTAGGATTTTGTGGGTTTAAAAACATTGGTTTTAAATAATGTTCCTTCCGAGCATCCCCAGTTTGAATCGGCAAGGGGAATAGGATATTCCATTTGTACTGGTGGCGGCCACTGAATCTCTGGAGGGCTGGGAAACCCTGACAGAGTAGGAGCAGTGAGGAAGCGGGCCCTGGGCCTAGTGTGATTGCTGGTATTTCCCACACAGGGTCAAATAATACTAGTCCGGCACACCAGGCATATTCCCATTTTCTCAGAACACTGGGAAGAACTGCCAGCATTGGGACTTTCAAAGCTGGAAATACTGTGAGGAAAATGTGAGCAACAGGAGGAAAAAGGTTACCCAAGAGCCATCTCACTTCGTTTCTCCCTGTGTCCCTCCTTCCCTACCCTTCCCCATTTATTTACTCCAGAAAATTGTACCCTCCTCATAGGCCAATGAGTGACCGACTTGTCCATTTTCTATTGCTATAACAGAATATCACAGAATGAGTAATTTATAAAGAAAAGGAGTTTATTTAGCTCATGATTCTGTAAGCTGGGAAGTCCAACAGCATGATACTGGCCTCTTGCAAGGGTATTCATGCTGTGTCATAACATAGCAGAAAGTGAAAGGGCAAGCAAGTGAGTGCCAAAGAGAGCACGAGAGAGCCAACCTCACTTTTACAACAACTCACTCCTTCAAGAACTAACTCCCATGATAAAAACATTAATCCGTTCATGAGAGCTCCACCCTCATGACTCAATCCCCTCTTATAGGCCACACCTCTTAATACTGTTATATTAGCAATCATGTTTCCAACACACGAACTTTTGGGGGACACATTCAAACTACAGCAGGAATCGTATGGGTTCTGAGGTACACCAACCCTGAAACTGCAACGTAAGCAATACTAAAAACCTACCTGAGATTCTTTTGTTTTTACCACCCATTACTTCAAATACTTATCACGTATTCCTTCTGTCTACCTGAAACACTGTACCCTCTAACCAACATCTCCTCATTCCCTCCACCCAGTCTCTGGTAAGCACCAATCTGCTCTCTGTTTCTATAAGTTCTATTGTTTTAGATTCAAAATATAAGTGAGAACATGTGGTATTTGTCTTTCTGTATCTGGCTTATTGTACTTAACATAATATCCTCTAAGTTCATTTATGTTGTTGTGAATGACAGAAGTTCCCACTTTTTTTAAAGGCTAAATAGCACTCCCTTGTGTTATATACCACATTTTCTTTATCCATTCATCTGATGATAGACATTTAGGTTGATTTCACAACTTAGCTATTGTGAATAATGTTACAGTGAACACAGGCGTGCAGATACCTCTTTGACATACTGCTTTCAAATCATTTGAATATATATGCAGAAGTGAGATCGCCGAGTAATATGGTAATTCTATTTTTAGTTTTTTGAGAAACCTCCATACAGTTTTCCCATGTCTAACTTACATTCGCATCCACAATGTACAAGGGTTCTCTTTTTTCCATATCCTTGCCAAGACTTGTTATATTTCACTTCTTGATAATAGTGACCCTGAAAGGTGTGAGGTGATATCTTATTGTGGTTTTAATTTGCATTTCTCCAATGATTAATGATGTTGAGAATTTTTTCATATATCTGTTGGCCATTTGTATGACATCTTTTAAGAAATGCCTATTCAGCGCTTTTTTTTAAAAAATCAGGTTATTTGTTTTATTGCTATTGAGTTGTTTGAGCTCCTTACATATTTTGGATATTAACCCCTTATCAGATGTATGCTTTGCAAATATTTTCTCCAAATCCACAGGTTGCCTCTTGACTCTACTAATTGTTTCCTTTCCTGTGCAGAAGCTTTTTAGTTTGATGTAATTCTATTTGTCTATTTTTGTTTTTCTTGCCTGAGCTTTTGTGGTCAAACCCAAAAAATCATTGCCTAGACCAATGTTGTATATATTTTCCCTTATGCTTTCTTCTAATACTTTTACAGTTTCAAGTCTGATGTTTAACTCTTTAATATATTTTTAGTTGATTTTTGTATATGGTATGAGATAAGGGTCTTATTTCATTTCTCTGCCTGTAGATATCCAGTTTTCCCAGCACCCTTTATTGAAGTGACTGTCCTTTTCTCATAGTTTATTCTTGACATCATTGGCAAAAATAAGTTGACCATAAATGCATGGGTTCATTTTGGGTGCTCTCTTCTGTTACATTGGTCAGCGTGTCTATTTTCACGCCTATATCTTGCTTTTTAAATTACTATACCTTTGTAATATAGTTTGAAGTCAGGTAGTCTAATGCCTCCAGCTTTGTTCTTTTTGCTCAAGATTGCCTTAGATATTTGGGGGCTTTTATAGTTTCATATGAATTTTAGGATTGTTGTTTCTATATCTGTGAAAAGTAGCATTGGAATTTTGATAGTATTTCATTGAATCTGTAGATCACTTTGGCTAGTATGGATATTTTTAATTCTTTCAATCCATGAACACAAAATATCTCTCCTTTTATTTGTGTCATCTTCAATTTTTTCAAAGTTTTGTATTTTTCAGTTTACAGATCTTTCATCTCCTTGGTTGAATTTATTCCTAAGTATCTTTTGCAGCTATTGCTTTCTTGATTTCTTTTTCAGATAGTTTGTTGTTAGTGCATAGAAATGCTACTGATTTTTGCTTTATTTTATATGCTGCAACTTAACTCTATTCATTTATTAGTTCTAACGTTTTTGTGGAGTTGTTAGGATTTCCTACATATAAGATCATGTCATCAGCAAATTGCAATTATTTCAATTCTTCCTTTCCAATTTGGATGCCTTCTTTTTCTTGCCTAATTGTTCTGGCAAGGACTTCCAATATTATGTTGAATAGATGTGATGAGAATGAGTATCGTCTTGTTCCTGATCTTAGAAGAAAAACTTTAAACTTTTCACCATTAAGTGTGATGTTAGTCGTGTACTTGTCACATATGACCTTTATTATATTGAGATGTATTCCTTCGTACCTAATTGTTGAGTTTTTATCATGAAAAAAATGTTGAATTTGTCGAATGTGTTTTCCCATCTAATGAGATGATCATATGATCAAAAACCATATGATCCTTCATTCTATTATTGTGATGTATCACATTTCTAGATGTGTATATGGTGAATCATCCTTGCATCTCTGGGGAAAATCATGGTGAATGATCCTTTTAATATGTGGTTGACTTTGGTTTGCTAGTATTTTGTTGAGGACTATCTGAGATTCTTAAGTTCTATAAAATATTTATCTCAGAAAAAAGTCATAGTCAGCTGTGAACTCCAGCAAACACATCTGAATTTTTCAAAGGGTCCCCAAAGGTTTCAGGATGATGATCCAACCATCCTAGCATGGCACTGTTAAATATGCTGCTATAACAAAGAAGCCAAAATACTGTGATTCCTAGCAGACAGATGTTTTTCACCTAACATTCCCAAAGGAGACTGGCAGCCCACATCACTTTTGCTCATATCTCATAAGCCATAACTAATCTTAAAACTAGACTGGAAACTGTAATCTCTAGTTGGATATCCCTATGTTCAGCTAAAACTTGGAAAGTTTAGTTCCAAAATGAAAGAGGGGAAAACAGGTGTTGAGAGAAAATTCAGGGTCTATGTTTTCTCCCACCTCTGTCTGCACATGCTATACTCACAATGCCTCTGGCCTGGATAATTCCCTATATCCTTAGGACATAGTTCCAACATCACCTTCTCTGGGACACAAGCCCCTACTCTAAGCTCTCAGAGCGTCTGTGCTTCTATGTCTACCCCACCACTTATCTCACTCTTATTGTAATTGTCTGTCAGCTTTCCTACCAAATGAGGAATCACAAGAATGGGCACCATATATGTCCTTTATTTTTATATTCACAGAGCCCAGGCTAGCTCATGGTTTCTAATGGGTGTATAATAATGACTGTAGAATGAGGAAAAAAAAATACAAGAGCATAAATGATCTGAAAATTCTAATTAGGTTTCTGTTTCAGATAATCTGAGAATTGCTATATTATTTCTTAAAAGTAAGAATTATAATTTTTTACCAGACTAAATATGACTGGTTTCTAGCCTTGTCCATATTTTATATTAATTCTAATGCTTCTGGGAAGGCAGAGATTTTTTCTCAAAAATATTATTAAAATAATGCAGGCAGCAAAGTACGGCCATTAAATTAACGAGGAAGTGGGTTACTTAGAATTTGGAACAGCAGATTCACTATAAAAATATCTTATGCATGGTAGTTGACCACCAAAAAAAACACCATATATTATATATATAATAAAATAAAATCAATCTTTGCTATTCAAATTGGAATCTTCTATTACACTGCAGTGTAGCATTCAATGCAACAGTGGGGAAAACACCAATGTTTGTACAGCAGATGAAATCCTCTATTTGGGCATTATTGTAACAGGAAGACATGAATGGAGGGAGAGCTCCACCTTGGGTAACTCAAATCCCCAATAGAGCCATGGAGAAAGAACACCTGGTCTGCTTTTTCTCATCCCATCTGTCCTCCACCTGAGTACTCAGCTATTGTTACTTCCGTTTCACCAACAGAAGCAAGGACAACTTGTCCCATCAATAAACAAGCTAACAACTCAATAGGCTTTTTTTTCTAAACTACTGACTTCACTGTAAACTAAACTAAAGAACTACTGAACAAGGAGAGTTGTTAGACTTCAGGAAAACCACTTCCCAGGGGCGAATTTTCATTGAAAGAGTCACATGGCCTGAAAACTGTTGGGAAATTCAATCCTGATCAAACGAAGCTCCTTCCCAAATCTAAACCCAGGAGTGTCTCAACTAGAACAGGAAACTTACAACAGGAGTAATATTAAATACTGAAATTTCCATCACATGGGTGGCAATGCAGGAATTTCACATTAAATGAAACCA